ATTTCACATTAAAGGATAAGTTCACCTTTTGGGCACAAATAATAAATGCACATTTTTTTTTGCAGGTAAAAAAATGTGCATTTAATATGTTTGTCTACAGAAGCCTGGAAAACATTGCACCAGCAATGAGCAGACCGCTAATCCCATGCAGGTCTCCTGCAGACCTGTCAGAATAACTGCTTGCCATACGGGTTGTACGGGATGTACAGTCAAGCAGATAGCTTCAATGAACTAGTTCATTGAAAACTACTCTACTCTGTGAATGAGTGACGTGGCTGTGTGGGCGGAGCCCCGCGCGGCCATGCTGTTTTCAAATTTGACAAACAGTACAGGTGAAATGGTTGATAGTTAACTAACTATTGCTTTGTGCCTACTAACTGGTTTATTTTACATACCAGATGTTTCCGTGGCATCTGAATGCTGTTATCCATATACACATTTTTGTTTTGAGAAATTGCAGAAGTTACTATTCTGTTGCATGTTTGTTCTGCCACGCCATAGAGTGGTTTACTGAAAGCTTTTTTTCTGTATTCTGATTGGCGCTTTATGAAATATGCCATGTTATCATGTATTGCTTAAAGCTTGATCAATAATAAAGAAGTTGAATTTTGCACCACACATCTAGGTGTCTGATTTGTGTTGTTCCCAAAATACTTTGAAATGGATGTTTGTATGGAGGAAGCTGGCCTGAATTGATATTCCTAACACCAAGCCAGCATGGAATGCAAGCTGGACAGATATAAAAATTATATATAAGCAACAATTATTTTGCGATAAACTCTGTACCAAAAGATTTTATTGAAAAATAGACAAAGGCATACAGCAGGAGTGCAGGAACTGCACATGAAAACAGAACGCACCTAAGCTTGCAAAGCCAAATAAATGTCATGAACAGAAATATGTAATAATTGAATGCAATATCCTAAAACATAAGGGGTGAGATGCCACCATTAGTAAAGAAACAAAAGCACACGATTGATGTAAAAATCCAGTTCAAAGATATATGGCACAAAATAGGGTTAATTTAGAACAATAGAGGGCTGAGGATAAAGGGCTCCGCATACCCCAGATCTGAGTGGCAGCAGCTGTAAGTGTGAAGCTGGAGAGATTGGAATAAGGAGAGAAGACCACACGGGAAGAAAAGAAATAGATAGAAAAGAGTAAGCATTCCTTCAAGGTGGAAAGGCATGTAAGAGTCTCGGAGATGGAGAACATGTAGAAGATTGTAAAAGATTGCAAAATGAGCAAACAGTGTGGCCAGGCAGTGGGAACAGCGAATAGAATTCTAGGAAGCATTACTAGAGGGGTCACCAACAAGATGAAGGAGGTCCTAATCCCTCTATATAGATCTTTATATCACTAGAGGGGTCACCAACAAGAGGAAGGAGGTCCTGATTCCTCTATATAGATCTTTAGTTATCAATACAAGGGTCCCAGACAGGAGCAAGGAGGTCCTGATTCCCCTATATAGATCTTTATATCACTAGAGGGGTCACCAACAAGAGGAAGGAGGTCCTGATTCCTCTATACAGACCTTTATATCTCTAGAGGGGTCACCAGCATGAGGAAGGAGGTCCTGATTGCTCTGTACAGATCTTTATATCACTAGAGGGGTCACCAACAAGAGGAAGGAGGTCCTGATTGCTCTGTACAGATCTTTATATCACTAGAGGGGTCACCAGCAAGAGGAAGGAGGTCCTGATTCCTCTATATAGATCTTTATATCACTAGAGATGTCACCAGCAGGAGGAAGGAGGTCCTGATTCCTCTATATAGATCTTTATATCACTAGAGGGGTCACCAACAAGAGGAAGGAGGCCCTGATTCCTCTATATAGATCTTTAATTATCAATACAAGGGTCCCAGACAGGAGCAAGGAGGTCCTGATTCCCCTATATAGATCTTTATATCACTAGAGGGGTCACCAACAAGAGGAAGGAGGTCCTGATTCCTCTATACAGACCTTTATATCTCTAGAGGGGTCACCAGCATGAGGAAGGAGGTCCTGATTGCTCTGTACAGATCTTTATATCACTAGAGGGGTCACCAACAAGAGGAAGGAGGTCCTGATTGCTCTGTACAGATCTTTATATCACTAGAGGGGTCACCAGCAAGAGGAAGGAGGTCCTGATTGCTCTGTTCAGATCTTTATATCACTAGAGGGGTCACCAGCAAGAGGAAGGAGGTCCTGATTCCTCTATATAGATCTTTATATCACTAGAGATGTCACCAGCAGGAGGAAGGAGGTCCTGATTCCTCTATATAGATCTTTATATCACTAGAGATGTCACCGGCAGGAGGAAGGAGGTCCTGATTCCTCTACATAGATCTTTATATCACTAGAGGGATCACCAACAAGAGGAAGGAGGTCCTGATTGCTCTGTACAGATCTTTATATCACTAGAGGGGTCACCAGCAAGAGGAAGGAGGTCCTGATTCCTCTATATAGATCTTTATATCACTAGAGATGTCACCAGCAGGAGAAAGGAGGTCCTGATTCCTCTACATAGATATTTATATCACAAAGCAGTCACCAGCAAGAGGAAGGAGGTCCTGATTTCTCTACATAGAGCTTTATATCACTAAAGGGGTCACCAGCACAAGGAAGGAGGTCCTGATTCCTCTGTACAGATCTTTATATCACTAGAGGGGTCACCAACAAGAGGAAGGAGGTCCTGATTCCTCTATACAGATATTTATATCTCTAGAGGGGTCACCAAAAGGAGGAAGGAAGGAGGTCCTGTTACCTTTATATACATCTTTATATCACTAGAGGAATTCCCAGCAGGAGGAAGGAGATCCTGATTCCTCTATGTAGATTTTTATATCACTACAGGGGTCACCAGCAGAAGAACAAAGGTCCTCTATACAGGCATACCTCGGTTTACGAATTTAATTTGTTCTGCGGGACTTTTCGTATAGCGAAAAATACGCAAACCGAAACACTGTCTCTCATAGGAATGCATTGAAAACCAATTATCTGTTCCGGAGGTCAGAAAAAAGTAAACTCTACTAAAATACCGCATGAGTTATGTTATCAAGTAATGCGGTATTTTAGTAGTGACAACTATGCGTTAATGTTTCAGCTGTCAGCAGTTCCCCACTGACAACTGAATGTAAAAGAATTGCTGGTCCCCCCTCCCATCCATTCTAAGCCCGTCGGGTCTTGCCAACATTTAAAAAAAAATGGCGTGGGAGTCCCCGACAAAATCCATACCAGACACTTATCTGAGCATGCAGCCTGGCAGGTCAGGAAAGGGGGGGACGCGTGAGTGCCCCCCCTCCTGAACCATTCCAGGCCACATGCCCTCAACATGGGGGGGTGCTTTGGGACAGGGGGGCTCCCCCCTAAAGTACCTTGTCCCCATGTTGATGGGGACAAGGGCCTCTTCCCCACAACCTTGGCCAGTGGTTCTGGGGTGGTCTGTGGGCAGGGGGCTTATCGGAATCTGGAACCCCATATCCCGCCCACCCCATGTGAATGAGTATGGGGTACATGGTACTGCTACTCATTCACAAAAAAGCAAAACATGTAGTTTGAAAAAAGACAGGAGAGGGTCTTTGACAAGTCCTTTATTAAAAGAAAAAACTAAAAGAATGCCCCCTGCAGTAAATCCTAAGTCAATCACAATGCCCGCCACTGCCGCCACCACCGACCCAAAAAAAGAATTTTAAAAAAAAAAGGCTCCGCTTCTGATCATGGCTACCAGCCATCTGCCTGCTCCGGTGGTTTGACAGTTCTTAAATATGTAAGGGGAGGGGCCACCCAGGGACATCACCCAAGTGACCCTGCCCCAATGTGTGGGGACCCCGCATTCACTATATCTGCTCTCCCCGGACCCTCCATTCACTATATCTGCTCTCCCCAGACCTCGCATTCACTATATCTGCTCTCCCTGGACCCTCCATTCACTATATCTGCTCTCCCCAGACCTCGCATTCACTATATCTGCTCTCACCGGACCCTGCATTCACTATATCCGCTCTCCCCGGACCCTGCATTCACTATATCCGCTCTCCCCGGACCCCGCATTCACTATATCTGATCTCCCTGGACCCTGCATTCACTATATCCGCTCTCCCCGGACCCTGCATTCACTATATCCGCTCTCCCCGGGACCCCGCATTCACTATATCCGCTCTCCCCGGACCCCGCATTCACTATATCTGATCTCCCCGGACCCTGCATTCACTATATCCGCTCTCCCCGGACCCCGCATTCACTATATCTGATCTCCCCGGACCCTGCATCCACTATATCCGCTCTCCCCCCGGACCCTGCATCCACTATATCCGCTCTCCCCGGACCCTGCATCCACTATATCCGCTCTCCCCGGACCCCGCATTCACTATATCCGCTCTCCCTGGACCCCGCATTCACTATATCTGGTCTCCCTGGACCCCGCATTCACTATATCCACTCACCCTGGACCCCGCATTCACTATATCCGCTCTCCCCGGACCCTGCATTCACTATACCCGCTCTCCCCAGACCCCGCATTCACTATATCCGCTCTCCCCGGACCCTGCATTCACTATATCCGCTCTCCCCGGACCCCGCATTCACTATATCCACTCTCCCCGGACCCTGCATTCACTATATCCGCTCTCCCCGGACCCTGCATTCACTATTTCCGCTCTCCCCGGACCCCGCATTCACTATACCCGCTCTCCCCAGACCCCGCATTCACTATATCCGCTCTCCCCGGACCCTGCATTCACTATATCCGCTCTCCCCGGACCCTGCATTCACTATATCCACTCTCCCCGGACACCGCATTCACTATATCCACTCTCCCCGGACACCGCATTCACTATATCCGGTCTCCCACAGTACACAGAACATGCAAATGCAATTGTTTTAGTGAAAATAAACTGCTAAATCCCTTTTCTCATTAGCAGTATATTGCAGTCTTGTGATGTCTATCAGTGTCCAGCAGAGCACTGGTAAAAGATTGTAGGAGGAGTTTTCATTTTGTTCTGGGAGGATGGAGGACCCCTGACCTTTGTCTGGACAGTGCTGACTGGCTCTGTGCTGATCACGTGCAAAAAAAATAAACCTCTCTAGCAATACACACCAAACTGAGCATGTGCAGAGTGACACCACACAATATGTCGTATCAGGAGATAAGAGGGGGGAATTGGAAGAAGGAGAGAATCAGAGAAGATGGGATCAAACAACCTTTTTACACAATGCAGAGGATGAACCCGTTAGATTCCACAGTGAGTATAACAAGCATACTTTAATGAATATACAGACTGATTGTACTGTTGGGGGTTTAGTAACACTTTAGGTCCATCTCTAACTTGGCATACAGAGACAGGCAGAGTGCAGATTTCCTGCCCTGCAATAGTGTGGCAGAGCGGCATATTTGCTACTGCTATCCTCTGCCTGTCACTGCTATAGAACCAGCAGCCTCCCTGCAACCAGTGATGCTGAAGTGGGTGGAGCCTGATGAGAAAGCTGAAACACTAGTTCCCCTATCAGGTCCCCTCTTGCCTTGTGATTGACAGCAGGTAGTGGATGGATTCTGTAGCCAATAGCAGACTGTCTGTTGACTAAGGATCTGCCCTCCACCTGCTCTCAGTCACAAGGAGAGCGCCCCTGATGGGGAACTGGTGTCTGTGAATTCTCATCAGGCTCCACCCCCTAGGTACACAACTGTCAGACAGAGCAGCGGTGGGAAGTGCAGTTGTGTTGAGACTGGAGTGCCCATATGGATGATCTCAGTTGCATCTCCACATGTAGTGTGTGCCCCAGATTCATGTCCCTGACTACAACCGGAAAAGGAATCTGCCTCCTTCACTGACTTCTGTTGTGTGAAGGTGTGTCACAATTCTAAAGAGGGTTGCAGACATTTTTTATGAATTCCCCTGGCTGTCAGCTCTTCTATCTACTCCATCAGACACAGACAAATGGCTGTTATAATGGCTTTTTATGTGCCATCCCCCTCACTATAACATTCTATACTGATGGGACTGGCACATAAAAAAACCTCCATTATTGGTCCTTCAAAGTCACTTGCCCCAGGAGGTACATTATTGTCAGCTGGTTGCAAAGAATGACTGCATGAATTTGTATCATGCTGAGATTGGTATGGTCCAATGCTTTTTCAAACCAGTAATGGTTTGCTTACAGCTGACAAAACTGGAAGCCATTCCAGTCCCCGATCAGCTATATGGATATCTGGTTGCATTTCCAGACTCCCAGGTGGGACAGGAGAAACCGGGAAGGTGGCAGGGAAGGGGATCCCCTCCCGGAGTTTCTAAAAGCAATCCAGGGGCTATTTAGCCGCTAGGATTGCTTTTACAAAAAAAAAAGCATTGTCAGCTCTAAAACAACAATACAGGATAATGTCTGCAGCTGTAGGCAACATCCTGGTATAACCACTGAAATTGGTTCAAGTGGTTAAAATGAATGTAAGCCCTAACTGGATAACATTTGTATTGCTCACTGCACTGTGCATTACACACAAGAAACATGTTTTTTTTATTTAGAAGACACTTCTTTCAGCTTTTTATCCTACTTTACATCTCAGTGCTACTCCAGGTATAGTTGTATAGCATTTATCAGGGCAGATTTCCTCATGCTGACAATAGTTGACCATGTCTATGTAATGTGTGTTGAAACTGCCACTTGTAGTCACAAATAAAAGTCTGTGTGAAAGGTTAACAACTCAGGAGTAGAGTTGACAGACAGCGACAGAGCATTGTCATACCACACCACTCAAAAAAATAAAAGGAACATTTTTTAATCCGAGTCTAGCATCAAGTCAGTTTAAATCCTGGGATATTGATCTGGTCAGGTGAGTAGCAGAGGGGGTTGTTCATCAGTTTCAGCTGCTTTGGTGGTAATGAAATTAACAACAGGTGCACTAGATGGGCAACAGTGAGATAACCCCCAATACAGTAATGGTTTTACAAGTGGAGCCCACTGACATTTTTTTCCCATCTCATCTATTCTGACTGTTTTTCACTAGTTTTGCATTTGGCTAGGGTCAGTGTCTCTACTGGTAGCATGAGGCCATACCTAAACCCTACAGAGGTTGTACAGGCAGTCCAACTCCACCAGGATGGCACATCAATATGTGCCATTGCCATAAGGTTTGCTGTGTCTCCCAGCACAGTCTCAAGAGCATGGAGGAGATTCCAGGAGACAGGCAGTTAACCCATCAGCAGGACCGGTATCTGCTCCTTTGTGCAAGGAGGAACAAGATGAGCCCTGCCAGAGCCCTACAGAATGACGTCCAGAAGACCACTGGTGGGAATGTCTCTGACCGAACAATCAGAAATAGACTTCATGAGGGTGGCCTGAGGGCCCAACGTCCTCTAGTGGGCTCTGTGCTCACTGCCCAGCACCATAGAGCTGGATTGGCATTTTCCCCATTGAACACCAGAATTGGCAGGTCCACCACTGGCACCCTGTGATTTTCACAGATGAGAGCAGGTTCCCCCTGAGCACATGTGATAAATGTAAAAAGGTCTGGAGGAGCCGTGGAGAATGTTATGCTGCCTGTAACATCGTTCAGCATGACAGTTTTGGTGGTGGGTCAGTGATGGTCTGGGGAGGCATATCCATGAAGAGATGCACAGACCTCTACAGGCTAGATAATGGCACCCTGACTGCCATTAGGTATGGGGATGAAATCCTTGGACCCATTGTCAGACCCTAGGCTGGTGCAGTGGGTCCTGGGTTCCTCCTGGTGCACAACAATGCCCGGACTCATGTGGCGAGAGTATGGAGGAAGTTCCAAGTGGATGAAGGAATTGATACCATTGAATGGCCTCCACGCTCACCTGACCTAAATCCAGTAGAACACCTCTGGGATGTCATGTTTCAGTCCATCTGACGCCGCCAGGTTGCACCTCAGACTGTCCAGGAGCTCAGTGATGCCCTGGTCCAGATCTGGGAGGAAATCCCCCAGGACACCATCCGTCGTCTCATTAGTAGCATGCCCCGATGTTGTCAGGCATGTATGCAATCACATGGGGGCCATACAAACTACTGAGGACCATTCTGAGTTGCTGCAATGACATTTCAGCAAAATGGACTCACCTGCTGCATCATTTTTCACTTTGATTTTCGGGGTGTCTTTGAATTCAGTCCTCTGTAGGTCGATCATTTTCATTTCCATCAAACGATGGGGCATCCTTACATTCCTCACCTATCACCCCATCCATGTCAGTATATAGATCCAGCAGGAGATTTCTCCCCATTGAGATCTGATGGGTTTTCAAAGTCTTCCTTTCATTTTTTGAGCCGTGTATAACTTGTGGTAATTTAGTAGCTGATCGTTATTTTATAGGAAGAATGTTAATGGCAGGATTACCAGGGATGATACTAAAGACAGCTGCAGATTAAAACAAAAAATAATAAAATTAAAATTAACATGTCATTATTATTATTATACAGGATTTATATAGTGCTAACAGTTTGCTCAGCGCTTTACAAAATGAAGGCAGACATTACAGTTACAATACAATCTGGTACAAGAGGAAACAGAGGGCCCGGCTATCAATCAGCAATTATGAGATGAGATTTTTTTTTTTTTAAGAGAAAACGTCAGCACAGTATCACTGATATCATTGGATTTTCATAAAAAAAAAAAACAATCAGCAATAGCCATCATCATATTCCTCCGATAGCATAATTATTTTACCCTTCCCCTTCCCTCCCCCCACCCCTTCCCCCTCCCCTTTCCCCTCTTTCTTCTCATCTCTTTAATCATTATGAAAAACAAGCAAACAAACAAACAAACAAACAAACAAACATAACCCCTCATAAGAATACAATATCTATTCTATCTATTAACCTCACCCACCCCTACCCCACCCCCCATTCTCCCCTAACCCCCCTCCCCTACTATTCTAATATCTATCTGTATCTAGTACTATTCCTTTTTTTTCTCTCCTTCCCTTTAGGCCATTATACCTTCTTTAAAACTTCCAAATTTTCTATACTACCCCCTTTGCTCTAATTAATTTCAATATACATTTCCGAGATCTTAAATTTCATCCAACCACTTCATGTTCTCCTCAACATCTCCATTTTATCCTCCTCTATACATCTCAATTCCTCCATTCGAGCAATGCCCTCCACTCTATCTATCCAATCTACAATCTTTGGGGCCTCCTTCACCTGCCAATATATGGGAATCAAACCTTTTGCTGCACTTATCAAATGATACAAAACTTTATTATTTCGTAGTCCCGAAGCAGGCTCAAAGTAATAAACTAGACATTTCCACGGGTCTCCCTGGATATATACCC